TAATAAATAACGTTTTTCTTTCAATTTTCAAACAATTTCCTCTATAAATTTTGGTCAAAGTAAAATTGCTTCAAAGTTCACAGAAAGGAATTTTGCTTGTTAATGATAATTAATTTGCTGATAAATTTTCATGTTTTTTTTTGTTTGCTCTCTACAAATACCTAAGCTGAGCAAAGTTAATTTTCAGATTGGATTAGAGGAAAATTAAACTGAGTGTATGTCAGTACGACTGCAATCATGTTATATGTACACTGCAGAAAAAGAGCAATACTCCTATGAACAAGAATGAAAATAGTTGTTGATTTGAAAGTACAGCATACTTTTGCACTGTAGTATGCTGCTCATAATGAAGGGACTGCATTGATTGCAATTTTAATATTTTGCAAACTAGATAAAAGCTGATACAATTTCTCCAGAGTCCAATAAATTGTGAAAATTCTGTAGTGTCTTTGCCTACAGCAATAGGATTAGTCCTACTTTGCTAGTATGCCTCAAACGAATGATCACAAGCTCCTCACCAACACAACACACTTACATTGTCTGTTGTCCATCATTGATTTTGAGAGATAAAGTTCAACCCAGTTGTAATTGACCAAAAAAAGACCAAAAAGCATTCGTTTTATGTTTTCGTCATCCTAACGTGACAGTAACACAAGATTTGCGAAATCTTTCAAAACATTTGCTGTTATACTTTGTTTGCCTCTAAGAGACTTCTTGAAGTGAAATCACTCTCACCAAACTGGTTTTTTTGGGGTGGAGAAAAATCAAAGATACAAAAAGATTTTATGAGAATCGGACACATTACTGCTCAGTTTAAAAACGTTTGACAAAACTACTTAAATAGTAGTAACCTTCAAATTATACGATTATTACTAAAATAACTACATTTTTGAAAAATTGAAAGTGAATGACACTTTGAAAATAAAATTTTTGTGATCAATTACAACTGGGTTGAACTTATTACATAGGGACGGGTGGGGATCGACTTCATTGGGGATCGACTTCATTGGGGAGGGGTGGGGATCAACTTCATTGGGGAGGGGTGGGGATAAACTTCAATTGGGGGGAGGGGGTGTATGCATTAAGGGGGAGGGATTGCTCTTATTGGAAGGGGAGGGGAGTGTTTGTTATGGATGTTTGGTATACCTTGGCAGATGACGAGGAGGAGCAAGGGACTTAGGAATTTTTTGGTAGGGTTGCAAATTTGGAGTTTGAATTTTTTTCACTTGTGCTGTTTTTCAGTCTTAGAAAAAGAATGAAGATGATGACTGACTTGGTAAGTTGTTTTGACTTAGAAAATTTTTGCCTTCTTTCTGGAGTTGTAAAAATGGTCTTATTGTGCATGTTGTGTTTAAAAAATAAAGTTTCACTTTGGACTTAGTGGTTTTCCTGTGTTTTTTAATGAATTCCATCTTTACCCTCTCCACGCCCTTTTTGGACTTGTAAAAAAAATACCGCCCTGAGGTCCCACCAGCACCAAGTGTCACTACCCCGGTAGACCAGGACCACGCAGTACTTACTGTTCCGACAAGAGCCATCTTATGAAACCATAACCAGGTGTTTGCTCTGATGGTGAACACTGTCGATAAGGATATCAGACTCTGAACTCTCTACAGACTCATGAGAGTACCTTGATGGTAAGCCAGCCTTTGTACTGTGAAGATCAGTGCAAGTAAGAGACTTATAAGATAACCACACCTCACTACCCATAGGTTTTACTGTACAGCAGTGATGTATGTCTTAGAGTGATGCAATCAATAGACTTAAGGCGGTATTCAGACTTCCTTAAAGTGTATATGATTATCAACCCTGGTTTGCCAAGACTAACATGAAGTTTCTAGGCTACTAACTTGTGAAAAATGAGCTGGTCTATCCCGAAAAGGAAACTACCACCATGTAATTTAATATGAAAAGCTAACCTATGCTCTGTACCCTTCAACAATTAATTTATGTTTCCCTAGAGGACTAAGGTCTATAATGTATTCTTAATCTGCTAAGGGACTGGGTCTATAATTTATTCAATTAAGTATTAATATATTCAGAGTCTGCTAAGGGACTGGGTCTATAATTTATACCATTAAGTATTAATATATTCAGAGTCTGCAAAGGGAATGGGTCTATAATTTATTCCATTAAGTATTAATATATTCAGAGTCTGCTAAGGGACTGGGTCTATAATTTATTCCATTAAGTATTAATGTATTCAGAGTCTGCTAAGGGACTGGGTCTATAATTTATTTCATTAAGTATTAATGTGTTCAGAGTCTGCTAAGGGAATGGGTCTATAATTTATTCCAGTAAGTGTTAATGTATTCAGAGTCTGCTAGGGGGCTGAGCCTATTTTTCTATATTTATCTCAAGGGAACAGGGATTATCATGTTGCTATATCATAATGACATCACATCACATTTTTTTATGGCAAAACCAGGATTCCGAATTAAGCTCAAAAAAATCTTGAATGTGCAATCTTTCTCTTCCTAATGTAAAACCAGCGTTTGCAGGGTTCATGGGCCTATATTCATGCAAAGCTGTCATGCTTATTCTCAGGTCATTATGAACCTTTGGTTTAATGCACATCATTTTATTTTTGAGAACTTGAATGCAAGGCTTTGTGTTGAGGAATCAATCGTTCCATTCAACATGCCTGCTGTGTGAGTAAGGCTTACTGCATGGTGATGTCATTACAAAATAGAACAAGTTTGAAGGTTACTTTATGAAAATCAGTGCTGAAGGAGTTGTTCGTAGAAAACTTTAGTTTAGAAATAACTAGAGTGGATTTGGTATTTGGAGCCCAATGCATGATTTAGTTGTACAACCACATTTTGTTTGGATCAAGACATGAACAGATCAGCAACATCAACATGTGTGAGTAACCGTTACTCGAGCTGCAGGGCCGTAACTAGGGGGGAGCACAGGGTGCATGTGCACTCCACATAAAAGCTGAAGGTCCGCTCATCCATATCCTTTTTTTTTTGGTTCTGCTTTCTTTGGGTTACCTTTTTTTTTGGTTCTGCTTTGTTAAAAGAAACGATCAATCGCCCGATTTTATTCGATGTGCACCCTCCCTGTAAGAGTTCTGGTTACGGCCCTGTGCTGATAACAAATCCACTCTATTAACTTTACATCAAAGTTTATTTTATTTAATGATGAGGGAGGATAGGTAAAGCCTTGGTCTAATTCTTAGTCTTAGTCAAGTTTATTATAAGGATTTTAGTCTTATCTTATTTCCTAAGATGAGTTTTTTCACCAGCAAAAAACTTCTAAGCAGAAGTAAATAAGCCATAATGAATGAAAAAATAAAATTCAAATGTGTCTTCGTAATTTTGAATTGAATCGTGAGCAACTACATGTATGATAATTGACTTTGCCAAATTAAAAGTATATATAAGCATAATATATACCATAGT